TTCTAATCCAAATAGGTTTATCGAGGACCATTATCGTCATATTCAGGTACTGGCTTTCAAGAAGTAACCCGACCCCCGTGCAAATATGATACTTGCAACTGAAAGTACTGGCACGTCACATTGCTCGTCGTATCGTGTCATCAGTCGGGTTGCTTTACTTGCTGCATACAGTGGGATAGGTAATCTAAAACAAGTTACTACTGCATACTCCTTTCTTTCTTTCTCACGCAAATTTTTCTCCCTCCTTTCGTCCAATTAATAACTCTTCTTGTGAACCAATCCTTCAAGACTGAGGGCTCCGTTCGTCCTACACCAATGTTGGCCGCTGCATCTGCGTGTCAGCTGTTGCCGACAGCCTCGTGCATCTCAAAATCAGTCTTCAAGCCCCGATGGCGGATATATTTTTCTGCCTCTGATCTTCACATTCTGAAGCAAGTAGGACAACAAGCTTCTCTTGCTTTCACACTGTACTGGCTGAACCTAATCGTGTGCTGTGTATAAAAAGCAAGGACTGAATGTTTGAGAATATTGGTTAGCTGATTTCCAGACCACCTTTCACTTGCTTCTGGATGTACACCTCTGACGATCGAGTCCCTGCATCAGGATGGGCAGAGTTTGGAATCTACTTGAGCCATAGGTAGGAAGGATTTCTGCTTGACTGGGTATCCGTTGATGGTCTCCTCGGTTAAGTCTCGTCTGACAGTATCTGTGAAGAGCTCTTACAAGTGGGAATTTGATCGCTGTCTGCTTATCATGTCTGTTTACATCCCATCTAATTGTATCTCTATCACCATCATAGACACGTTTTATGATGCTATGAGCACCCTGTCACGCAGACTGAAAGCTCGGGTCTTTTTGCAGTTACCGAGTACCAGAGTTCAAAAGTGACCAAACTTTGCATCTGATACTCGATTATGTGACTGAAATGGATTGAACCCAGTGCGGACAATGGGGAACTAATGCCCTAGCTATGTGCTGACCGCAGACTGTTCTGCGTCACTGACTTTCAAAACAACCAAAGGCTTCTGACCACATGGCGTCTTCCAATAGTGTGTTAACTACGACCTCAAAGTGGTCGTATTACCATCAGCGGATCAATAACTGACTGCCGCGTGTTTTGGAACAGATATGTGGATCCCGATCACGTGCTCGTCCGCAGTCGTTTCTGGCTCCGTTTCACGGGGCTGCCTGCGTACACTGTGGACAAATCACTTAGTAACTGACAGAATGACAGATTTCAGAGTATATTGAAGTTATTAGAACGGTCTTCTGAATTCTCTTTTAGTTACTGCACCGTCCGATGTGATTTCACTGCGGAATGGGACAGCCACATCTTAACTTAGTAACTGACAGAATGACAGATTTCAAAGTATATTGAAGTTACTAGAACGGCCTTCTGGATTCTCTTTTAGTTACTGCACCTTCCGATGTGATTTCACTGTGGAATGGGACAGCCACATCTTTATGCAGCGATGGAAGTTTTGCCTGTAACACGATGCTACCGGATTCGCTCACCTCATGATTGTCAGACTAAACAGTGGCACGGATTGAATATCGGTGGAACGTTCTCACCGTTCCCGAAAATAATTTGACCCGGTGAATTGGCAAACCCTAAGTAAAAGTGAGCATTCCTGCTGATGGTCAAGCCTGGTGGAAGCTTCGTGGAAATGGAAGAAGTCCAGAAAGTCTGGAATGCTCGAACAATATTTCAGTTTGCTCGTGAGACCGGCCCCTTCAAATTGCCTGTGATTGAAACCGCAAAAAGCCACAGTGATACTACCATCTTCAAAAAAGAAAGACCCCCAACCTCTGAACGGAGCATTTTGAACAACAATACACATGGCCACCCGCTGCCTTTCATTTGGATCCATCATTTGAAGTAAAACCCTGAAACCTTACACAGCTTCATGGTCGGAGACGGTGCACAATAAAGCTCTAAACAATGTCAGTGAAATCCCTGCTTTAATGTTTTATGCAGATTCCACTGATGAGTTTCTAGAGCTGTAGGTAATATGCAGTCATTATGTCAAGCTACCACGAAATCCCTTCCTCATCCACGTTTATTCCCCTTCTTCTGAATAAGGCTTTGAAATAAATTATGACTGTGCAGCAGCAAAGCCGTGTTAAACACTGATGCTATCCCGTCCATGATGACGATGGGATGATAATTCAGACGCAATTTGTGCAAGAGCTGTGTAAGAGATGTAGCGAAGCCGTATGATGAGGTGCCATTTGGTCTCACCGTAACACTTCTAAAAGCAACGTACATTTAACCCAACCAGAGAGGCCGGTATCAGTGTTGGTGATTGTGAATTAACCACTACGACTATTTTGTGGTGCGTTTACGTTATATCTGGTTATAGATAACATTTTCGTTAGAATTTGTCCATAACCCACTGAATAGGTGGGCCAGACAACGGCCTGAGTGATCTGCTCCGTACGGCCTCGTACACATCACAGGATGGACTGTATTTATGTACTTTTGGACAGTAGTCCTTATTGATGGTCGGATCTGGGCTAATACTTTGCGACTGGTGCAGAAAAATATGGAAGCCTTTCTTATGGAAATCAGTTGCGGCAAATCAGATAAATACAAGCTCAAATGTCAGGTCTTTTTGACGCTGGAGATTTTAAAAAAGAATTTCTGAAAGACACGCGATAAGAATCCGTCTACGTGAGTAGTTATGCTAGAGACAGTTAGTGCCTCATGTCTAGTAACAACATGCGCACATGGTATGACGCCAGAGGATGTCGGTAGAAGGCCTAGCAGCGCAATTTTACTGAAGAAGTTCCGAAGTGAAGCAAAAGGTATATCAAATGCCGCTTTTCATAAACATGCGGGTGACTGATTGTGTACCAGGTGCTTAGCTATAGGTTATCGTTTGCTACTCTAGGAACGCACCATATTGATCCCTGAGCTCAGACTGTGCAGTCGTTTTTGAAACTGTCGAACAGTGGATGGAAATAAGTAAACCAGAAAATGAATGAAATCTGTAGTCAAGTCTTGATAACATGAACCAATGACGTGCTACGTAGGTGCTGTTTGATAACATGAACCAATGACGTGCTACGTGAACCACAAATGCAACAGGCCTATACTTGTGTTAATGAGTGCTTCAAATGCGTGAAAGCGTTTGTTCCAGCCTGATGCAATAAGCTGTGAAGTAACCTGGCTTGCAGACACCAGCAGTAAAAGTGATTAAGGAGCGGCTAAGACTTAGATAGTGTTACTTTGTGTTTTTATACCCAATCTATCAACACCACACAGACAACGATGAGGTGTAATGGACTAATTCTTGTAACAGAAAATGTGGTGGTAATTGGGCTGTGAGAATATGGCCCTAGAACTCACTCATCATCATTTGGTGAACAGTTGATTGATGATATAGTCATAATGTTGTTCGGTTCGCACCAGGACTGGAGGTGATCTGGATACTATCCCACAGTGAATTACAAGTGGACATACAGGACTACAGTTTGACTATTCCTCTTCGTAGGTGGGAAGAGTAAAACACCTCAACAAATTAACTTTGCTGATTCATCGAATTATGAATTTGACCTTTTTGTATACTTAAAGACAACCTTCAGAGTGCAGTAACTACACAATTGCACTTTGATGTGTATGTTTAGTAATTCTTATCTTGCCACACGAAAAACACCGAAAACGATTGATAACCTCTATCGTTTTGGTATTCGTAGCAAGCTTTCATTTTGTGGCATCATATGAAGACAAATAGAGTTGTCTTCTTGTTTTATCTGGTTTGACATGTTGAGGACATACAGTTAAAAATGAGTAACCAGAAGCTTGTAAGATTCCTTATACTGGTTCTGTAGTAAAACACCGTAAGGCGGCAGGCCCCAAGCAATTTGAATACAACATTTGCATGGCATACAATGGAAACCGGTCACCCGTGTAACCTTGAAAGCCCGTTGACAGTCTTAAAAAATGACTTTGCCTTCATATTCTTTGGAATTTACTGAAGATGTCACTATTAAGGAATGAACGCAGATGTTTGTACACAAAGTTTGGTGAAGCATAACCCACGTTTGTCTGGAAACCGATTTCATCTCCCCCTTTCGTTCTTCTCTGCGTCCAAAAATATAAACACAGATGAAGCGGTATTGACTATCTTGCAACCTTAGTCTTTGGCCATCGACAGAATAATCGTATAGCAGGTTGTTACCAGCCCACAGATTTATTGCATCTACTGTAGGTTTTGACCTTTCTTCTCTGGAATATTTGTCTTCATTGCGACTCCAACACAGAAACATGGAAACAGTACAATATATTTTTTTTAAATGAAGAGTGCGCCCGCCTATAGAGTGAAGGCAACGAGTTCGCCTCGAATGCCTTTTATCCAGGGTTCAAACCCCGGAGATGGACCGTTGATGAGCTCTAATTAAAGCGAAACTCGAGTCCAATGCTTCCCTCGCCCCTTTCAGTTTAAACTCACCAGGGTAATTGCGTTAGAAATGTTCGAACGAGCGTGGTGTGAAAGTGAGGTAAAGCTTTATTGTATGTGCTTGAGATGAAACTTGGAAAAGCGGTCGTTAGAGAAACAGCAACGCAATAATACCACTACGAGCGAAATTGCACTTTTTACGGAAAACGTAATGTGCTTATCTTTGAACTTTTGTTAGGATCAGACTCTTTCCGCTGATACATGCTATGCAGTACATAAACACTGATAGTTCACAGGTCAGACATGAATATTCATTTATGCTTATCTTTGAACTTTTGTTAGGATCAGTCTCTTTCCGCTGGTACACGCTATGCAGTACACAAACACTGATAGTTCACAGGTCAGACATAAATATTCATTTGTGTATGAACCTCAGTGTAAAATGTCTCATTGTACTACACGGTCACTCAAATGTATTTGACGTAAAAACGTTCCCGTCGAATTCAAGCTGGGAGACCCAGTCATCTGTCGTATTTCTTCTATTTCAGCGCTTTATGCTCTATTACCAGCCCAACTACTGAGTTACACAACTGATTAATGTTGGTTTTACAAACACCAGCTCTGAATAACGGGGACCAAGTACAAAATATGGTTGAAAAATCTCAAACAAAAGAAAATGAGATAAGTTTTTTTGATCGCTTCGGCCGAGGAGACGAAGATCGAGCCAGAAAGCGAGCTCAGTTAGCTTCGGAATATGAAGAGTTCAAAAAGTGGGAGAATGAAAAATTTCAGAATCGATTCGCAGCTAAAAAGTCTTTATCGTCAACGCTAACAGTCAAAACTTCGAACGAAACCCTCGCACCAATTCCCATTTTACTACCAGTTGATCCAACAAAACAGTTGGAGCATTCGGAACCCAAAAAATCAGACGAAGGAGATTACCTCAGATTGGGAAACAGACTAGACGCTAAGCTTGAGGAATTGACCCAAAAGATAGAGAGTTTAACCAGCAGCTACAAACATGAAATGCATGATCTTCTAATCAGAGGAGAAACAACTGACCCACATAGGTATTTGCCACGAAATATAATTGCCCTCGTTTTTTAGAAAACAGAGTGAACAGGGAAATCTGTTAAAGACTGCTGTCCCTGATTCAAACTTTCTAACTGATGAACAAATGAAACTGTGAGTTGTGTTTGGTTTTTCACCGTCTAAAACTTAGATATGAATCTCAATTGCAGGATCGTCTTCGAGCGTTGCGAGAAGCTGAAGACCGGCTCCTGTCAATCGAAAAGGAGTACAAGAGAGTCAGGGATAACGACCAGACCACAACTCTCGCCGACCCATTTACGAGTAAGCCAATGATCCCACGCGCGAACCTTGAAGTATCAGAATCCGCAAGGTCCCCAATGGTATTCGGGCGTGAAAATAATTTGGAACAAAACAAATTGAAATTTGAAGCTAAACAAAGGTATCGACAGGAGCTCGAACAACAAATTCTCGAAGCCCAACAGAAACGCAAAGCTGAGGTCGCACTTTCCAAGGCAACCAAACCGGATACTCCGCTAGTCAGACCAGTCTCTCCTTTATCCAAACTTAGCAGTGATCCAACCGAAGCGTCGATGCTCAATGCAAAAACCGTGATACCACCAGCTCCAACCTTAGAAGAACAGGAATATTTTCTGGCTGGTAAACGTGACTTACTTGCAGATAACGGCCAAGCACCGACACAATATAAACCCTTGCTTCCAAGAACTGATTCCCACTCAAAGGTGACCTCCTCCGACAAACTAATTGTCGACCAGCGTGGAAAACCCGTGTCCATAAAAGATCAAGAAGCCAAGAAGGCCCAGTACGCCCAAGACCTCCGGCGACAAATCGAAGAGGCGAAACTTAAAAAGGAACTTCAGAAAAAGCAAGACGAGGAATATGACAGGAAAATGGAAGAAGAATTTAGGCGATATCATGCATACAATGCTCAACCGCATCCGGCCAATCTCGAAGATAATCGAGCTGTTGGTACGCATAGCATACAGTCACAACCGGGTGATGTTGTCCTAGTCGGAAACGAAGATGGTGGTTTTGCACGTGGTGGTCATGGTGTCTTTGGAAGTCCACTCACAACAGAGCAGAAGATGAACCTCCAGAAATACAAAGAAGATTTAGCCAAACAGATTGAAGATAAAAGGCGACGCCAAGAGGAAGCGCGCAGGAGGGAAGAAGAGCTTGAACTTCGTGAGACAGAGCGTGTTGCTGCTGAACAAGCTCGTATGCAGCGCGAATTCGAGGCAGAAAAGGCACGAATCAGAGCTAGTCAACTGGAAAACGAAGATCATGCAGCTGCTCCGCGTTTGGACTTAGAACGGAAGCAGACAGTGACGAAAAACTATCAACTTCCGCGTAGCCAACATCAGCTCCGTCAGAAAACACAACAGCGGAAGCCAAAACCACAGAAGGCAGAAAGACCACATTCAGGGAACCAAAAGCAATCAGAATGTGACTTGCTTATTGGCCCTGACATTGCGATACATAACTTAAAGAGGAGCTCTTTTTGTGCAGACAACAGTAGACAGAGTGAAAAAGATCACTCGGTTCTTCAGCAACTTCGGGATCTCCGAACTCAGTTGGATACGGAAAAAATGAGAATCGAGGAAGCATTGCGTAGACATCAGACCTTAGATAGATACGGTCTAACAAGCGGTAAGCCTCATCCCAGGGTGGTCAGAAGAGGCGAGACCTTATTCACAGGGCCGTACTTGTTTGAACCGAATTGCCGATGGAAATATGGAATCGGAACTGTTCGTGAAGTCAGTCCATTTGGGATGTGGGCCAAAAACGCCCTGCACGAAGACTCATTGTTGCGTATGGATGCAAAACAAATGGCGTTCTTAAATGCACAGGACAACTACTTGCGAGAACTTAACGATGAATTGGATGTCATGACGAAGCGTGAACTATTGAACGATGCCATTCTGGAAAGACAGAATCTGCTTGGCGCAGACGAACCGGTCGGACAGCGGGCTGCTATGGAGTTTCTGCTGGATGAACCAACTAAAGAAAGCAAGCGACCAGCCTCTCCCTCACAAGGATCAGTTGATATTGACGAGTTAAACGAAAAGAACCAACAGCGGCTTAAACGATTGGAGGCTATACAACTTTTAAATGATATTGACACGGACCCAGAAGCAGTTTTACAGCGCTTTGTGACCAAACATGATGCGGTATTTACACGGAATACAGAATGACCGGAATCGTAGAGTTTTCTATAGATTCTCTAAACCGAATCATGCATATTTGTGTGCAGTGAAAGTTATCATGTGCCGAGCTGATCAGCACGTACTGATACACGTACACTCCTTTCAAAAGTTCACTAATAGCCTAAGACGACAGGCGAAATCCAGCAAGTTGTGCAAAAAGAAGGACTCTCAGATGTAGCACAGAGAACACGTGACGTTTGCCATAATAGTTCGATCGGGCGGCTGTTTCGTGGTCTAGAGTAACACGCCGTCAGTGAATAATGCATTGAGAAGGCACTTTCTAATGTTTCTACTAGGATTTCTGGGTTCCGAAATTGCCTAGTGGCCTGACAGTTCGTTGGGAAAACAACCTCAGGGAATCTCCCAATCGTCACTCGACTAAGTATTTTCTTGTGAAATTGGTGTCAAATGAAATCGCTTTCGCGCTTAATGTATCAGATTGATGAACCTTTGGTTGTATCCACGTTTTCCAAACAGCTTTTTGACTGTACGATATAATACTTGAATGGGATTTCCATTAAAACATGGTGCATGGTATTTACTTGTTATCGTCATCAGGACAAATCAGAAGTAGTATATCTTAAACCATTTGGTTGGAAACCGAATGCCGGACACCAGACAAGGTACTCAGCAGCAACTGCCGTGAGTTTGGACACTATTTCATCTCGTCCCTCAACCTTTCTACTTACATCCTGTGTTACAATTGCGGTTTACCTGTAAGCTAAACCAATGTACTGGTATTAAATCAGCCATTTAGTGGAACTCGGAGGTGTATCTCTTCGGTTCCCCCACAAATGATTGCAGTAAAAATAGTCGTGCTGTAAAAATTGCCTCATTGATTGATGTGGCTCTCCATGTGGACTATTCCTTATGAGATGGTATTAGGTAATAGACCAGCAGTCTGCTCGTTAATTTCAATTAGGTTCTCAACAGTTTGCTTCATTTTCACGCGAACACAAAACAGCTTCCGTGAGACAGAAAAGTTTCAATAGTGGTTCTTTCGTTTTTCGTTGAAAAATACACTTTCTCTTTTGAAAAACACGATTATGTGTTCGGAAGAAAAGGCCTTGTTATCCTGCTATTAGAGCCACCTTATTCCGTTGAAAAATACACTTTCTCTTTTGAAAAACACGATTATGTGTTCGGAAGAAAAGGCCTTGTTATCCTGCTATTAGAGCCACCTTATTCTGTACCTTACCTTAGTTGTCTTTCAACCACGCGGTGACTGCTCTCATGCGCAATATTTGGAATGAGAGCGGAAAACCTGAGTGGTAATACAGAGGATACATTGAAGGTGCGGAGACACTGTCTCTGGGCCTTAAGGATAGATTGTCTGTCAACAAGTGAGAAGATTCTTAACCCTAAAAATGGACGTACGATTTCAGCAGCTCATTAAATTTATTCTATTCAACAGGATTAAACTTACTATGAACCAAAGCCGACTAAGTCTCTTCTAATCAGAAGGAAGGCGAAGTGAAATTTCGGTTACAAATTCTTACGGAATGCATTCGAATATGAGGAAGTAGTTTTTTACCATTCCTTAAGTATCCATGGTAAGTAGCCTCTTCCATATTGGCTCCTCGTGCGATGCACTCATTGAGCACTATCCGACATAACTAGTCTGTTATCCCTATATTCCTCTATCATTGTGGAGTTCATTATGGTCTCAATAAGATGCCAAGGTACTACGTCTGTGGTGAACGGTTTCTGCTTAGTTTGTCGTCTGCAATCTATCCTGATAGGCAATGTTTCTCCACTGGTTACGAGAAAATTCGATTGATCACTTTGTCGAAATGAAATAGAGGTGGATAATCTTTCAGTGAAAGAATACGGGAATCCCAAAAGGGATCACCTCCAACACGGTATGAATGTATCCACAGCTGCTCTCAGTTTGATCACTTTGTCGAAATGAAATAGAGGTGAATAAACTTTCAGTGAAAGAATACGGGAATCACAAAAGGGATCACCTCCAACACGGCTGCTCTCAGTCCACCATTACTATATATGCGTTTGCGGAAAATAGTGTCCGACAGTTAACCTATGCCGACAACAGATCTTGGACCTTTGACCTCTAAATAATACCACATCCCTAAAGCAAAAGGGGTCGTCTGCAGACGGAGAAGGGAACACGGCCATCGATCTGAGACAGGAAATCCTAGGTTATCATTACCGGTTACGCTGAAGTTTGAACCGGAATGTCTGTCATGACTATCTCTAACGGGAATTGCCAATTATTCTTTGAAACTGGCATTCGAGATATTCTGAAAGGTATTAACACTTTCTGCTGAGAAAATCCTATTTGTCGTAATTGGCATGATCCATCTGAGCCTATTGCTAAAGTAAGCAGGAGTAATTCAAGGTTAATTCAAGGTTTAATGGTCTAAAAAGCAATTAACTTTACAACGACCATAGGGTGAACGTATATACACAAAGGGATGCAAAAGTATGTGTAATGTTTACTGAGTATCACATGGATTTAAATAGTTCCAGATTCGGTTTGGACATAAGATGTGCATCTAACTTGTTCTTGAAGATGGTTAAACTCGGCGAATGTACAACTTTGGGAGGTAGGGAGTTCCAAATGAAACATACACGGACCGCAAAAAAGTTCCGTCGACAGTTCACCCTCGAGTGAGGTACCGCGAGCGAAAAGTTATGCCTCCTGCCCGTTCGTGTTCGACGTCGGACAAAAAGGTCTTCCAGCGGATGATTAGGTGTCTTCAGTATATTATATGTTAGAATTAGGTCTCCCCTGATGCGCCGATAGTAGAAGTCAAATAGGTTGAGACTGGCAATCCTGTCTTCGTATGGTTTATTTTGCAATCCAATTACCAGCTTCGTGGCTCGATGATATATTCGCTGTAGAAGAATTATGTCTTTTTGAAGCCATGGTGACCAAGCTTGTATAGCGTATTCCATGGTTGGTCGGATGTAGGTATTGATTACTCGGGGCAGTGCCAGTCGAGTGAAACGACCAAAAATCCGTTTTAGGAGCGACAGGACTTGTGAGGTCCTCTTGTAGACGGCTGTGCATTGCAAGGAGTTTTTTAAACAGCTGCTGACCCACACGCCAAGATCTTTTTCTTCACTAGTCCAAGAAAGTGGTTGTGGACCCAACGTATAGTTATATGCAAAGGGCTTCCCTACACGGAGCATTTTACATTTTTGGAGGTTAAACGGTAGTCTGTTTTTCAGTGACCAATCATAAAGTGTATCGAGATCTTTTTGTAATCGGTGACAGTCTTCAATGGTGCGTATGCTTGACCATATCTTGATATCGTCTGCGAATAAAGTGATTTTACTGCTCACGAGCTCAGGTATATCGTTTACGTATAATAAAAATAAAGTAGGCCCAAGAACGGAGCCTTGGGGTACTCCACTTGTAGCTGCAATTGGCTTGGACAGAGCGCCGTCAACACATACACGCGCGTCTCGGTCAGCCAAATAGATTTCAAGCCAAGCCAGCAGCTTTCCCGTAATACCATAATGCTCGAGTTTTTGTAACAATATGTTATGGTTCACGCGATCAAATGCCTTGGAGATGTCTAGATAGCATGCGTGAACGGGATTTCCATTGTCCACAGCTTGCGTCCAGTCGTCTAAGGTAATAAGGAGATTGGACAGACAGGATCTGTTTTTTCTGAAACCATGCTGGGCAGCCGAAAGCAATCCGTTTTCCTTTAAGTGTTTAATGATTTCGTTTGCCACCAGTCGCTCAAGCACTTTGGAGATCACCGGCAACAGAGTCACCGGCCGGTAGTTTGACACGACCGAACGATTATCTTCTTTATATATGGGAGCGATAACGCCCCTCTTCCAGTCGGTGGGAACTGCACCGTTATTTAGGGACAAATTGAATAACTCAGCGAGAGGTGTGCATAGGGAATGAGCACACTGCTTGAGGATAAATGGTGTTATCTGATCGGCACCGGGAGTTTTTCTGTGATTTAGTTCAAGTAACGTTCGGAGTACACACTGTGGAGTCACAATTACTTCATGTAGGGAGGTGGGCGGTGAGGAGACATAAAGAAGCTTCGGGTTTTTTTCCATTTTCTCTAAGAGCTGGTAATCCTTTTTGTTTGCTTGGTTTATGCTAGCAGATCCGCCTGCGGTTCCAGGGTCATGGGGCAACTACCTGCTCATGCAGCACGCTGAACTGTATCGGTCGTTCGGCTGGTGAGCTTGGCTTTGTCAACTGCGGCTTTGTCCGCACTCATCGCTAGGTTAGCACACTGTTTGACCCAGTGTTTAGTTGCACCCCCAAGGCGAGCTAACTTGTGGTGCATTTTGGATTGTCTGCCTCAGCTACACCTGTGCACCGCCACACCCGAGTGAGAGGAATATAGAACACTCGCGTGCTACGTCGTCACATGCCCTGGGAGAAAGAAGGGACGATGACGCATCGTGCCACAGTGCGTTCGTCATACATGAGTGCCTACGCCGGCACAGGCGTGAGAACACGTAATCTGCGCTAACAAACAGAATTTGGTAGAGGCGCATGAAATGTGGCGTTCAAGCTTGTCAGTGTTTCGACAATCAGTCCAATTATATCGTACGATAATTTTACCCAATGTTTTATGATAGCCTAGTGGTAAATCGGAACCATTCATCGATGGTATCTAGCATAAACTTTGTGCAGTCTGGTTGGTTCATGGGACCTTGGACCATCGGTTTCCGAATTTCTCTAGAACAGCCAGATTAGTAACGGTTTGGTGACGCTAAACTCGGCACCCTTAAGAAAAAAGTACGTACAGTATAGTAACCCGCTCCTATCAAAAGGCTGATATCCGGAACACAAGTTTGGGAGCTCCCAATCTCTTTGACTAGAAGCTGGGCAGTGATCTGAAGTTCATCGTCGTACACGGACTAGTAGAAACACTCTTTTGAGCATAGGAAGACCCCAGTTAATCATTAATCGAAGCTGGGCAGTGATCTGAAGTTCATCGTTGTACACGGACTAGTAGAAACACTATTTTAAGCATAGGAAGACCCCAGTTAGAGTAATCATTAATAAGGTAAAACGGATTGCAACGAATTCTTTGCTCGAACATGAAAGATGTCCTTGTTTAGGCTGGATAACGCCGATAACACGTCAGTTAAGTGGGAAGTGTTCTTTTTGTGCATTAGCTTGCAGGAAACTTTCCTCCGAAGCGAATTTCGCTGCATTGCTTACGACGCACAATCCAACATACTCCGAGCGTGCATTCCCTAGTCGTAAATCAATCGGAGAATCTGCACACACACACGCACACACACACACACTTCTTTCATCCACACACACCTGTTTTGTCATTCATGGCAACCGCAGAACTGTGGAAGATCTATGTAATGTACTACTCATAAGGTTGCTGAAAATCCATCGATCTAACTACGACCGAAGAAGTTAGAATTCTGACCTTAAAGCATTAGCGTCTGATTCCTTGGGTGCAGGTCAGTGGGTAATTGTTGTTCTCCCTCCCAGGAAGTGTATCGTATTCTCTATGGCTGCACCAAAAATAATCACGCAGTTGTTGAAGTGTGGAAGTCTGACTGTTCTAGGTTGTACGGGTTGAAAAATCAGTAGATGTCTATTTTTATATTTTAACACCATCAATAAGCATCACACCTTGGAAATCACTTATGAGTTGTCATCCCCGGACTCCAGTTTACAAACTGGATATTCCACTCTCCCATTTTGTTTTGTTTGGCGTAACGAACGGTAGTATGGTTAGAGAGTTCCAGTTTCCGTAAAAATTTCTTGTGCAATAGCTTCACGGTGGCCTGTCCTGTGCTATGATATTTGGGGATACATCCTGAACCAGCCATTGCATTTCATCCATAGAGTGACTCATTCTGAGTCCAGATGGATTATTATTTCCTTGGTTTCATCTTCCACTCATCTCTGTTCTTTGTGAACTTTTGTTGAGTTTTTGCTTTGGTTGGTTGTGCAGTCTGATTGTGTATCAAACGCTCTAACTAGCCATGTGGCCTCGAAGTGTCACGCTTAGGTCAGGCCAAACAGTTCATATCACCTCAATTGAGGATGACCAGAATTGCCCTCCTTGTCATTCACTGACTGAGTTTAAAACCAATCAGATCACCATCGGGGGTATCTCCATAAGTGTATTTGCCCAAAGTGCATTTGAGTTCACGTGAACTGCAGCTGGAACTGTGTGAACTGCAACCTAAATTACGGAAACTGCAGTATCCAGTCATTCGCTGTAGGCCTAGAACCAGACTGAAAGTCGTTCACTGTACTATATTCCTCGAAAATGTGGCAGGCCGTTTGCTGGATGCAGTTACGCTCAGTTATTAACTAAAACCAAACAGTTGTTGAGGACTGAACGCACTAATTATAAGGCCCGTGAAACTCTTCGAAAATCCTCGATCAGTTCCACTCTTCTTGAGGCTCACTGGGTTGGCATAGTTCTAGAGTTTTCGTCAACTTTACGTTCTGCATGAACCCCAATTAGATGCAGTTCATAAAATGCACCCAATTGCGAAGTATTTTGGCTGTCAAAGAGTTTTGGCAATCTTAAGAATGGGTTTCTTCGTCTAGACAATGCACTGCGATATCTCGAATATGGTACCAACTGAAACATGCGACAGCCTTCGTGTAAGACGTGCGGTTAAAGAATAGCATTAGCGAGAGGTACATCTGGGGATCACTTGGGTCTCCCATTAATATCAAAGTAGTTGTAAATGAGTGTAATTCGCAAGTTCTCAGGAGGACTTCTTCTGGATAACCAGACTTATCGTGGTGAGTGGTCATCAGACGCCAGTTAACATGTTCTCCTGTCTGTTTAGTCTATCGTGGTTGATTGTCACATGCTTGTTGTTTTGGCAACGGCCTTGTGGTTACTTGCATAGTAATGGTCACTCCTGGATACAGCTATTGATACCTCATAAAACAGATTATCCTTTACAAAACGGTTAAACTCAAGATAGGGAGCGAAAAAAAGTGTTATCGTTCACAAACTCTTACTGTCTCCCCTAAGTTAGGCGGATCATGAAAATGTTTCAAAAATTGACAACTTGAATATCTTTAGTTACTGCACTGTGCGTTCACACAGCGGAACTCCGAAGACAGAACGCCCACAAACCCTAGGAAGATTCAGTTCAAAAGAGTAGTGACTAAATCTTTAACCACTCCATCGTCATCAGCAGAGCGAAGATAAATAAGTCAGACAGGAAGAGTTATCGTGAGATAAGTTCAGAGGTGTCGATATTTATCTCCACAGCCCCCGTCTGCAGGGAACAGTTAGCTGAGATAACAGACAAAAACTGATCTCAATGGAATCCATTATTTAAAGGATGAAATTAGGCCCTACTCAATTGTAATTTGCCTACTTCTTGGGAGAATCTAATGACCATAAACATAAGATAGCTGAGTGACGTTTCAAATATCATGGTCTTCTTTTGACAGACGTTCAAACTTGAATGAACAAAACGGAGTGAAGATAATACCAAAACGATAGTTTCTGACTGAAAAATAAGGATCCACTTTGTGTGAGAAACGCAAAGGAGTCAGAGATCAAAGAGCTGTCATTATGACTCCCGATCCAAAAGGAGAAGAGCATAGTGTACCAACCAGATGCATCCAGGGTTGCTTTCGAAATTCCCAGATGAACTCCTCATCAACTCTCAAAGTAAGGGTCAACTTCTATAGCAATGCAGTAAGTTTCGGTTGCTCGATCTCAGTGCTCCTCGTCGAAGGGAATTCCTGCATTGCAATATTTGCGAGGGCTCTTTTATTTAAGGACGACATAAATTTTCGGAAACTTGATGAAATAAGATAAAAACTCTGAGGTGTTGGACTAGATATTATCAAAAACGAGGACGACCGCACGGATTACCGAACACATCTTTGGGCCCCAGAGGACTGCCAGTCAACCGTTCATATGCGTAGAGCGCACGTTGGATGATGCGCAGTGGACTCATGACTTCATTCTTTTATTTGAGAGGTTCATCGGAATATTGTGGGTATTTGTATCTACACATAAATGCCTCAAGTAGCCAACATCGCCGTGGAACGTTACAGGGGTTGCCGGAAGAAATATCGTTGTTTTGGAGAAATATTTCGAAACTAAACCCGTAATGAAAAGTGATGTGCTCCATACTTAATGTAACCAACGAAAAGTTGTCATATTTTCAAACTCATTATTCCCTATTACTGTCCATTTTTTATTGGATTCGCTACTAATGGAATGCGGGATGTTCATTTTCCAACGTTTTGTGACGAAACTACTATGTATGTGTGTTCACCAAGGGTGTTTCGGATCTAAACTCTAGCTACGACTTACCTACATCTCGATGTTAGCTGGCTAGTCACACAAGCGAATCACATGACGAAACTACTATGTATGTGTGTTCACCAGGGGTGTTTCGGATCTAAACTCTAGCTGAGACTTACCTACATCTCGATGTTAGCCGGCTAGTCACATAAGCGAATCACAGAAGTTAGAGAAAATCTCAGTGACAGTTTTGCTCTTTTGTGTACGACCGTGGAACCAGAGCTCTCGTAATTCATAGGAAAGTGGAAGTATGCCTCGAATATTTAAATCAAGGATAGTGTGGAAGAAAGTGTACATGTATTGGACTTTATATTTGCCGGTGGCACTCTAGCAGTATGCATTCCGCGGAAATTGGACATCACCATCTTGTGAAAACTAAGCAGGGTTGGGTAATCGGGTAGAATAGAGCCTTAAAAGGTTGAGATAAATGGACAGGGTATACGGATTCTCTAAAGACCCTGGGACAAACTGTAAAGAGTAATGTGGCTACATATTTGCATGGTATTCAAATGTAAGTATCGGAGTATCGCTTCGGTGAAATAAGGGTTTAACGCAACTAGTAAATTCCAGAACTTCATTTCCGGGAAAGCCAGTCAGTATTCCACCGACTGATCGTACGGTATGCCTTTTTATTCATTGCGATGACCTGGTTTTTTTCTCTCGCAAATTAAGTGAAATTAGATATTTATTTATTTCATTCCCTTCAGAATTCGAAAACTGACAGTGAACCGTGAAACCAGACGTAACAATTCCAGCCCATATAGGAGGGGGGTGAGTTTGCCACATGGTCGTACATCACTGTATCGAGAAACGATTCGTCAGAGAACAATGTATTCCCCAAAATTCTTAAGCGGGCAGCAGAAGCACTCGAAACGGTCGAAAGCTTTACCTCAGTCACTTTTTATTCTCGCTGAGAAGCTGACAAGTGCTGATAATTATTCCCAAGCACTGGCAGCGGAACTCGACGGTTACATGCAGTTGAAATAAACAGTATGACCTGTGATGT